CTGACTTACACACTTCCAAACCTTCCTTACAGTAGGGTGATCGTGAAAAAAGGATGAACCAAAACATCCAAAACGATTATTATTCACGTATTTTATTGTCTCAAAGCTTGCCTATAATAATCTATCAAAGTTTATTGATTTATAAACATAACAAACCACCTTTGTATGAAATCAGATAATTTAAGTCTTTAGCGAAATAGATTTTTCTGTGTGCATCATTGTAGTTCAATTTAGATATGCATGATATAAAATAACCGAGTATTTATAACCGGATGAATACCTATTTTCATAAATGTCCGATGATTTATGATGGTTTTTTTTTTGATAGGCTAATTTTACCTAAACCTATTTTAATGGTACAATTGGAAGATCTATAAGTATTGAAACATATTTAGAAGTACTGACTATTTAGAAATCGTGGTTGTAATCTAAGAGTATTCTTTCCAGTTATTCTTACACACTTTAATAGTCTAGCTGTAAAATGTTGAAAATAATATTCTGTAGTTCACTCGTAATATTATTTATGTAAACAGCTATGGTTTTTTACATTTTGTGTTGTTGCGATTTTTTATATCTGTTTCATTGGGATCACAGCGCGTCCAGAGTTAGGAAAAAAATGGTTTATACTTGTGAGCATAGTTTTAAGCTGGTGGTATGCGAGGTAGCGGTGGTACGTAGTAGTCAACATAGTCAAGTTATTCCATAGTCACATTCACTCCACAGACACTAGTGAGTGTGAGTACAACACACGACTGTGTTATCACCGCGAACCGTAATCAACGACTGCCGGTACGCTTGATGTTTCCCACGGTGGTAAAACTATTTCTGACAATTTTGTAGATAACGTTGGTTTAACTGTGTCTGATATTCATATTTGTATTTTACACATAATTTTATCATTAAAAGTTGTAAAAAGTTGGTTTATCAGTAAAAATATCTTTGAAATGATACTACTTTGTTACGTGCATAATTTATTGGTCGTTTCGAGTTGTTTGATGCATTTTTTTACGTTTTATGAGCCTTTTTACAATTTTTTCATTTTTGTGATATGGCTTTGTGGGTAATGAAATTGTTCGGATTTTAATGAGGAACCATATTTTAACATTAAAAAATCATGAAAATAAAGGAGGTAAAACCAGCATGATGTCAACTTAAACCTGTCTGATACTAGGTCTGAGCTGGAGACCAAACACCATTGTTCTTTTGGGCTCAGACCATCTCCTTTGAGCTCGGACTTGACTCGTGAATCCAACGGGACTAATTATCGAAAGCCAGGACTATCTGTAATTGGACTCACGAACCCAACTTTTAAAACCAGGTTTTATCCCTGCACTAATTGTGTGGAGCCTATCAGTTTGGTCTGCGACTTATAAAGTCTCGAGCTTGTGAACCCGGGTTTTTAAGCTGCAGCGCAAATACCGGTTATTTCCGGATTCTTGGCTCGGACTACGATAAACCCAAGCTCGTCAACCGCCTCTAAGAGGTACTTGGCCTCGCCCACGCACTGCCTCCAGGTGTCTCTATCTTGAGCTTCATTTTCACTTCTTCCCAATCTTCTAACATCTTTTTGAACTTGATCCCTCCATCTTAGCTTAGGCCGTCCTGGTGGTCTTCTGCCTTCGGGGTTTCTATCAAGTATGTTCCTCACTCCAGAGTTTTCCTGTCTTCTCATAGTATACCCAAACAATCTCAACCGTCTACTTTTGACTTCCGCTACAATGTCTGGGTCATTGTAGTGCTCCCTAATCTCGGTGTTATGTTTTCTCCTCCATACTACATCATTGAGCATCGGGCCAAATACCTTTCTAAGGACTTTGTTTTCATATGTTATTATTTTCTGTCTTTTTGCTCATTACCCACATTTCTGATCCATATAGTATAACCGGTCTTAGCATTGTTTTGTAAATATGTAATTTGGTGTTGTGGGATAGTAATTTTGAGCTTAACAATTTGTTACACGCATAAAAGTTTCTGTTAGCTCAATTTAACCTGCTTATTATTTTTAATTCTTCATTGTTATTGTCTGTTAATAGTACTCCTAAAATAAATGTTTGTGTCTGTTCAGAACAAAAACTGAGTTTGTAAAATTTTAATAGTGAAACTATTTAACCTTTTTAATGAAGAAAAAAATATATTTATCAATTTTCCAAAAGTATACTAAGATTTTTAGTGTAGGCCTACCGGTATATTTAAGTATAATACACATTATATTGCGACAATTAAAAGTTTTATTCTCAACTTTTTCTTTTAAAAAGTGAAATATGTCGTTTGACCATGATAGTCTCTTTTGACACTGTTTGCCTTATAAATAAACCTTGCAAAAACCCTCATTTTGACCCAATGTCCACGTCAATCACACGGTTTGATGCAATCATGTCAGTTAACATACAATCAGAAAGAAAATTAGCTTTTTCTTTTTACCTTTTCTGCTCCCTTAGCTACCGGTACCTTATTTCTTGCAAATACTTGAACCCCAGACTGACAATACCAGGTCCTTCAATTAATAATTTCCTTTTAGAACCACATTTCCTTTACTTGAATCTCATATCTTTCAGGAGAGGGCGAAGTACCCATTCGCTCCATTTGAAATTTATTCTGTCTCTCAAAACCAGTAACAGTTTTTTACACATAATTTCCTTGTTCATGTAAAAATCATGTATTATATCTTACAGTTATATCAAAACTAGCTATCTAATTTAATGTTGATCAGCCCTTGTGCGTTTTCCCAGGTGTATTCAGTTTTTCATACTGAGTTTACACCTGCTTTCCTAATTCTTTTAATAGTTTTTCCTTAAACATTGCAATAGTTTGAATTTCTGTTGCTTTTTCTATCGGCCCTAATGACTTTTTGTCTTTACACTTATTCACAGAACTGAATCACCCGTAGAATGAAATCCCTCTCTCCACTAGTTGTATGGTCGAACCACATTTTCTAACAAAAACGCAAGCTTAAGTTTTTCCATAGCGGCAAGCAACGTACAAATCAAAACAGATATCACTGCACGAAGACAGTAGACTGCTCTGAAGCAAATGATGCGTCCACCCCACCTACTCACCAAAACAAAGATATTAGTAATTATGATGAACAAATGTTTACAGATACATACAGTATATGCCGAGGGCCATCATGCTTAGGGCCAGCAAAAGGTGTGTGATAACCTCCAAAAACTGCTGCATTGGCCCTGGCTCAAGGCGTGTCCTCCTGATTGCGAACAACCCTGATTGCGAACAGCCCAGTCTGCGAACATGATTGGGTTTACGAGGGGGGGGGGGTCGTCTGTGGGGTGGGGAAAATTCCCGATTGGGAACACATTTAGAGAGGTCGGGGTTTCCAACCCATTCTATTCAGGCCATTGACAGAATGATTTGGCCAGAATCACAAATCAAGACTGGTAATATACATACTGTACCAGTCAGGACTAATTTTTCAATGTTCTTGAAGACACATAATATCTTCATGAGACATAGTACGTAAAGCCGCATTCTTCCAGACTCACAAATCCGCTCTGATTATACTTAAAGTGGCTGTTTATTAATATGTTTGGCTAACAATAATAAAATAATCTTAAAAAAAAGTTACAAAACAATGATTTCATACGAATACTGCAGTTTTACTAGCCTAAATAACATGAAAATACATTCTAAACAAAAATATCAGCCCGTGTCTCCTGTTTAGCAGCAGTGACTCGACCATTTTTACAGATTCCAAATATTTGTTTGCAGTCTGGATGAATTTACCCTGGTTCGCTGGGGCGTAAAAAGGGGTAATATATGACTCACCAAGTCACCAAAAATCCAAGGGTGATGAAACCAGTCCTGGACCAAGAAACACTAGAGAGTAGAGGCGGTACATGAACGGAAGCCATAGGTGGATGGCAGATGACGACGTCTCGGGAAGAGGGTAGCCAATTTGTAGATTGTGTAGAAATGAGGGAAGTGTGCACATTTTTTGGGGGGGAACACTTGATGTGGCTAATACACTGAAGTTGACACAGGTTCTGGGCACTCACGGCAAAGACCCGGTGGGTGGAACTGCTAGGCGGCAGCGGCGATAAAGTACGTTTTAAATAATTAATTGTAAAAACATTTTTTACTGAGTTTGACGTTGAGACAGTTTAATTGTTCGTGACAAACGATTGAAGAGCAATAGAGAGTCCGAGAAGTGGTTTTAGCGGTAAAAGTTTATAAATAGAGAAAGAGTAACTAAATACAGCGTAATGCACGTATTCAGCCGAGGAGAGGTACATTTCAACTGAACATTATTTTGGGAGGGGGAATGTTGCTTTGTCAATGTTTCTTAGAGGGGTAACGCAAATTTGTTCATGTCCATATGTTGCCAAATTTTTTACCAATAGGATTCGTCCTGTATCGGGCAACACAGCCGAGATAGTGTGTGTGTTTTGGATAGGCTTGTGTGAGTGAGACTCTAACATTTGATATATCAATTCTTAATCGGATTGAAATAAGATTTTAAAAAAGCTATCACTAATTCGATAATAATAATAAATATAGTAATAATTACTTAAATACAAAACATTTGCGATCTGAACTGTTCGCAATTAGGACTCAACCGATCAAGTGACTTCATAGCAATGAGGACAGTACATAGGGAAGTATGTGATAAGAATGTTATCTTTATAAAAATGTAGGCTAAATGATCCAAACTTCTTTTATTAAATTTAGATCCGGGACTGATTTCTTCCATATTGATGATTAAAGAATTCCAGTAAAATAAAGTTATAAAAAATAAACACTGTTTGTGTTTAGAATTTTTGAACACCCAAACCTTTAGGAATTTACTCACATCTTGGGGTGGATCCCATTTATAAATACCTGACCTTTTAGGTATTTGCCCACCACAAGTTACCACAAGCCGTTTATTTATTAAGTAATCTATAACTAATGGTATTTGAAACTAACATGTTTATAATTCAATTAACATGATACTCAACCACATGCCACAGTAAGACTAGTTTGATGAGTGCCATGTATCCATGCAGATGTCAGTGGTTGAAGAAGAGTTCAAGACTAACAGCTCACACCTGTCAGCTGCTGGTGCTGCTCATTTACACAATTTCTTGGGAAAAGTCAAACAAGATCTTCAGAAACCACAAATTGACAAACAAAGTTCATCCATCAACAACAACTTGCCATTAGGAAGGAGGCTACACATTGATCAAGATGGGGTCATTGTAGACTCTATGATTGAACAAATGGATTTGAAAATTGAAGACTTAACAAAGCGTAACCAAGACATGTTTGATCAAATAACAAATAGATTAAAAACGCGTAATAATAAGGATGCAATCACCTCTATTTTACAATCATTTTTTTTATGTTGACCACATGAAGATAAATTTGAGAAGCAAGGGATCTGCTACTGACCTACCTGCTTTAGATAATTTAAATATTTAATGAAAAAATAAAGTATATAAGCTTTGATTTTTGTAATCTTCTTGTAATTTTTGTTACACCCTACAGCTTAAATTGGAGTTTTATAATATTTTAGGCCAGCTTGAAATTATGGTTATTTCAAAATTTGTTAGTAAGTGTAGCACAATAATACATGTTTGCATGTTTGTGTAATATTGCTGACAAAAATTTTAAATGTAGCAATTGCCAACCATATTTAACACTTTAAAACCAAAGCCCGAGTATGGCTTAGGGTGTTAGTTCGTTGAATCTCACCTGCGAGCGCTAGAGTGCTTATAGCGGCACTAGTCACGTTTGGCCGATGGTGCATGGTAGCTCAGTTGGCTAAGGCGATACACTGTTAAGTCTAGTGTTGAGGTCCTTCTACATGCTCGGTTTTGAATCCTGTACGTACATGTGCAATCCATATACAGGGTGAGTTTTAATTGTCCCCCCCCCCAACTTTTTTCTACATTTTTTCAAATATCAATCCCAGACCACTTCCAAACATTGTTGGGTAGTGAGTACTTCATTTTGACTAGGTGGTCATTTCCGGCCGCCATCTTGGATCCGCCATCTTGGATGCAAAATATTTTTTTCAAATGTAAAGGTGTGGTTGTGACCCATTATTTCGAACTAGATTTTTACCCTGATTACAATGCCGCAAACAGTTTTTAAAAATCTTGATTCATACCAAAGTTATGAGGACTTTTTAAAACTTTATTTTTAGCCCATTTTAACATTGTGCATTTACAAACTATGACCATAATCTCAAAATAGTGCTAGATAAAGATAAGTATACACTACCAGTCATTGCCAACCTATTTCCACTTGGTTATGAATGATGTATTTTTTTCGGCCGCCATCTTGGATCTGCCATTTTGAAATGTGATAAATTATTTTAAATATAAAAGGGGTGTTGTGACCCATCATTTTGGATTACTTTTTTAAGCTGTCGTCAATTCCATGATCCATTTTTCATTTTCATATTTTGATTTTGAAATATTAACATTTTTAACAAAAATATTGCAATGTTTCATAAATAAAACTTGATAACAAAAAATGGATAGCGGCATTGAGTTTAGCTTAAAAAAAGTAGTTCGAAATGATGTGTCACAACACACACTTCATATTTAAAATAATTTATCCCATTTCAAAATGGCGGATCCAAGATGGCGGCCGAAAAAAATACATCAGTCATAAATAAGTGAAAATAGTTTTACAATAACTGGTAGTGTATACTTATCTTTATGTAGCACTATTTTGAGATTATGGTCTTAGTTTGTAAATGCACAATGTTAAAATGGGCTAAAAATAAAGTTTTAAAAAGGCCTCATAACTTTAAAATGAATCAAGATTTTTAAAAACGGTTTACGGCATTGTAATCAGGGTAAAAATCAAGTTCGAAATAATGGGTCGCAACCCCACCTTTACATTTGAAAAAAATATTTTGCATCCAATATGGCGGATCCAAGATGGCGGCCGGAAATGACCACCTTGTAAAAATGAAGTACTTACTACCCAGCAATGTTTGGAAGTGGTCTGGAATTGATATTTGAAAAAATGTAGAAAAAAGTTGGGGGGGGACAATTAAAACTCACCCTGTACATACATATGCTCAATAATGTATGGCTTAGCTGGTAGGAGAAGCCCACTTCAAATAAACGGTGACCGGCTTGGGTGGAAGTTGACGGCATTATTGAGTTCGATAGGGATTTCACATAACACATATTTTGCTTCGTTTTACATTAGTATAAAAGAGGAGGATACAGATTTTTCATTTGTTGCTTTTCTTTTAGTTAAATATGGTGTTAAAATAAATCTTATACTTATAAAAGGCAAATACCACTCACTCACTCAAACACTGATAACTACAGGGTGGCGCAAAAAGGATGGTCGGATTTGAACTGCGTAGTACTAGTAAGGGGGAGGGTTGTGTCCACTGCCGGCCGTCTGTAAGTCGACCATAGTATCCAATTTGCCACGATATGGTGCAATAGACGGTCGAGCACCTCGTTTTTGCTGTGGAACAGTTTTTTCAAAAACAGTGAACCTTTTATTACGGTGCAGTGGTACATGTTTCAACAACATTTTAGTGTAGCCTGTAACGGACTGGTTCCTGATCGTAGATCAATATCACGTTGGGTGACTGCATTTCGGACAACAGGGTCTGTCATTAGTGGTAAATCTACTGGACTTCCACGAACGGCAGTTACTCCAAAAAACATAGTGACTGTAAGAGCATCAGTGCTTCGAAGTCTGTTTATGGTTTGATTGACATAGCCTACTACTGTAGCGACTTTTTACAAGGTTTTTTTTTTGCAATGTGGCATTTTAAAGTATCCAGATTATTTATGTGTAAAATCATTTGCGTTATATTCATTTAAAAACCGACCATCCTTTTTGTGCCAACCTGTATATCTAAAATACTACAACCTATACTAACTCAGGAATTGAAATAGAAGTTCCAATCAATCGCTAGGTGTGCAATAGGAAGCGTTTTCAAGAAATTTCATCAGGGGCCCCAGTGGCCTTTAAAGTTCCCATTTTATCATTATGGAGGAAAGATTTATTGACATTTGAACGGACAAATACTTTTAATCTACACTATTTATTATAAAGGAAACAGCCAGTTATATGTAATTACCTAGTTAAAATGAAAATATTTGCATTATTAAAAAAAAAAAAATCGTGTTATCATCGTAATTAATAAGGATTTGTCAACAACATATGATTTCTTAACACATGGTTTATGTTATTGTTTTATAATGTTTATGTTTGTGTTTATATATTTTTCATTCAGTCAGTTGTATTTTTGTGTTGTCATGTTTAAGAAATAAATTTTGTGTGGGTTATATAATTTAAGGACTTGATAACTGGCGACGAGGAAAACCAAAATGGAGTCAACTGACATTAGATTACATTTAAACAGTTACAAAAGGATAAGAACGTCAATCAAGGCACAATTTACTAAATTAACAAACAAGCTGAACAATCATGAAATTGATCGTAGGCAAGTTGATGAACGTCTAGAACTTCTGGACTCAACATGGACTAAATTTCTTGAAGTACAAGAGAAAATATAACTAATAATAAACGACACAGAACTGGATGAAGAAGTAAATTACAAGATGGACATTGAAGAAGTATTCATTAAGTTGAAGATTATGTTGAGGCAGTTGAAACCCATTTCACTTTCGAATACAACTCAAGAAATCAATGGTAATGCAAGCAACTCTACTGACAATACAGCTTCAACATCCCATATTTCATTTGTACCTTTCAGTGAAGTTGAATCTTTTGACAATTTTACAAAAAGACTTGAAGTATTTATGCACCTGAAACACATATCAGATGAAACTACAAAGACATTCACCCTACTTATTAATGGCGATCTACTGGGGACTGAAGAAGTTCTATCAATATTGTTATGGAAGAAAGTTTATCCTTGTAACAGATCATAAGCCACTTGTTTCAATTTTTGACCCATACAGAACCTTACCTACTATGACTGCCACACGTATTTTCAATTACGCTCACTTCCTCTCTGGCTTCGATTATACTATTGAATATAGGAACACCAAATTACATGGTAATGCCGACTACATGTCTCGCTTTCCTAATGAACATCCACCGACAAATCAAATTGATCAACATGAAGCCTTTTTCATTAACCAAATTGAATCAATGCCTGTAACACATGAAAATATTGCAAATGAAACATCAAACGACAATGACCTAAAACCTCTTTTGAAAGCACTTCAAGATGGTACTGATTTAGAACATATTGGCTTGAAGAATAATGAGTATTCACTTCATGATGGCTGCATTTTTCGTGGTTCCAGAGTAGTAATTCCTGAAAAACTGCAAGGAAAAGTACTCAATGAACTTCATTTAGGACACTTAGGAGTTGTGAAAATGAAAAATCTTGCAAGAAGTTTTTGTTACTGGAAACACATTGACCGTAACATAGAAGATCTAGCAACGTCTTGTCGTCCATGCTGTTTGAAGCAGAATCTTCCTGAAAAAGTAGATGTCCATCCTTGGCTGGTTCCATCAGGACCTTGGCAACGAATACACATCGACTTTGCAGGTCCAATTTATGGGCAATACCTTTTTATTATCGTTGACGCCTATTCAAAGTGGGTTGAAGTCATACCAACCAAAACTACAACATCTAATTGGTGCATTCAACAGCTGAGGAAACTTTTCTCTACCTTTGGTTACCCGTTCACGTTAGTCTCTGACAATGGTCCTAACTTCACATCATCTATCTTCAACCAATTCCTACAAGCTTGTGGCGTCACACACAAATTCTCTGCCCCCTATCACCCTGCAACCAACGGACAAGCAGAGAGATTTGTTCAGACTGTAAAGAAACAGTTAATAGCAATGGAGAATGATGGAGGAGATTTGCACTTCAAAATAAATCACATCCTAATGTCACTAAGGAATGCCACAAATGCTACAGGGTCCTCGGCATATGAACTTATGTTTGGGAGACGAATAAGGACAAGGCTGGATCTTATGAAGAAACCCCAAGATCACACAGAAATGCCCGACGGATGTACAAAAATGAAAAGAGAGTTTCGGGTGGGGGACAGGGTTCAGGTGCGCAATTTCGGAAAAGACGGAAAGTGGAAATTTGGAAACATAAGAAGGAGAGAAGGATTGGTGCATTATCAAATCGAGATGGACGGTGGGCAGGTTTGGAGAAGGCACATTAACCACATTCGGCCGTGTAAATTTGAGGGGGAGGATTAATAAGGATTTGTCAACAACATATGATTTCTTAACACATGGTTTATGTTATTGTTTTATAATGTTTATGTTTGTGTTTATATATTTTTCATTCAGTCAAAATGGTTGAATAAAATAGGTTGTACATTCTCTTGTATCATGTTTATTATATAATTTAAGGACTTGATAGTAATTTTGGTGAGCAAAGCCACAACGGGTTGTGCTTGTATATTTTAAAAGACAGAAAACAACATAACCCAAAAGAAATGTGTCGTAACTAAACGGCACTCCTAGCGGTAGGTGCCGGAACATATGCTAACCGCAGCACTGCTGTCGGTATATATTTATTCTATTCGTCTATGGTTTTATCTATGATATTGCACATCTAGTTGGATTTTTTTGTTTTGTTACATACCCTTCCTCATACATTACTTACCAGATCTGAATGTATTATTTGTATCCTCAGTTCAATAGATTCACCACTCTCTTAGATTATTTGACCTATTTCACACTATTCTTGGTAGTTTGTTTATAGGCCAAAACTGCAAATCTGAAAATAATCCAACATTGTCCTAGCATTGTCTGCCAATTTCATTATTTCTTCTTACCACAATTCTTCATTAAAACTGTTTAAAGACATATTGTGAGATCAAAACATTTTCTGCTAGACAACAAGATTCAGTCCAGAAGATGAATTTTGTGAAATCAGTTTACAGTACTTCCACCCGAAAATGTCATCTTCATACAATTGCATAAAAAATGTATGCTGTAACATTAATCTAAACTCATTTGAAATTTTAATTTTCTGGCGCGATTGGATTTTCTACACAAGTATCCATTGAACATTGAGAAACCATTGACTAAATGACATGAATTTCTTCTGACTGTCCAGAACAATCTTATTTCATCCTGCATCATAACATTGCTCAAGTCAATGGTTCTTCACCAATGTTAAGAATGTTAAGAGAGTCCAAATAAAAAAAAATATTTAGAAGGGATACTTTTTGCATTGGTAGCCAAAAGTCTTTTAGCTACTCCCTTACAATTTTTTTTTTAAATTTCCTGGGTGGCACTAAGGATCCAAGACTTTGACCACTCGACTACCACACATATGTGATTACCCGTTTTAGTGCTACAAAAAGTGAAAACAGTTATTTTAGAACACTTTACAAATTCTGGTTTTAACTTGCACGTATAAAACACAAGGGTCTAAGTATGTTAAAGTGGTTGCCTTTATATTGAAATTTACTGATAGTCTTGGGATGAAGTTTCGTCATTCAGTTCATGCCAATAGCTAATTCTTCCCAAGGAAACTTGCTCATAACAAATAATACAATTCAAACCAAATAATGTAAATTTTAAATTTTCTCTGTTATACAAACTACCTTGAACCTTATTGTGATACCTACTTATAACATTCTTTTAAACCTGTAACTTACTGCTGTAAAGAAATCTGTTCTGAAATTGAAGAAAGTAAATGTTTGCAGAAATATGTAGTTTTTGGCAGAGGTCTGTCAAGATGTTGGTTGTCAGAGTGTTTATTCGTGGCCGCATCAACATGACTTGGCAGGAAAGGTCCAGGTCCAGGTGATATTGCTAGTTGCCAACTACCAAAATTGGACCCTCAAACTTACCAAAACATGCAACAGAGCAATAGAAACTACTCGACCGTATCATTGGATTTAGTTTAATAAAGACCACTTTTATAAACATGTTATGCTATATTTGTAGATTAGCTACTGTGATTACAAAAGTGCTCAATACACAATACCATTAGCCTTCAAAATATTATTACATTGTCAAATTTTACTAGAAATATTTCCCCAAAAATTTTTATTTTTGTAAAACGTTGTGTATTGCTAATCTACAATATACAGGATACAGGGATTCCCTATGCCCTAAGCCAAATTTGATAATTCCTAGGCGATATATTTTGTGAGACATAGTGAGCTTCCGTCAGTCAAAGGTATTTGCCTTTTATTAGTAAAGAGATTATTGAAAATAATTTTACTTCCGCATTATTTCTGGTTGCTATACACGGCAATAATATATAACCAAGTGACGAGTATTGAAAGATACTTTGTATCACGATAAAAAAACAAATTCATCAAACATAAAAAAATATCTGATATTTCGTAATCTATTCCTTTTTAACTTTTGTTGATGTCAGGCAAAGTATTGTTTGTGTAGTGAAAGTAATATTATGTCAGGAAAATTCAGCTGATCACTATTTGTTTTTGGTGTATGGAAATTGACGATTTTTGAAGATCTCAGCTGCGAGGAAATGGGCTATTTTCAAATATAGAGTGATGATAAATGTTTTTTTTTGTTTATATTATTTTAAATTTAATGGTGAACTTATTTATGTTTACAATAGATTGTATATTAAACGGGTATAATGGTAATTCTTATTTTATCAACCAATGTTAAGTGTAACTTATTAAACTAAAGAAAAAAAACCACAAAAATTCTACCCATTTATCTCTTCAATTATCTAAATGCTGTAACAATTTCAGCAAAATAACTATGAAAACTGGTTTAAGGTCAGCCTCAATATTTTTAGTACAGAGCAAACACAAAATCATTCAAAGTTTTATAGAACTACAGTATATTGAGTGAGGATGAGACTAAAAATAAGAGTTTATGTCAAAGAATGTTTCCAAACAAACACTATAGTGGAAACCCCCAGAAATAACTGGAGGCTGGCTTGTACACAACATCTTAGCCGCAATAGGATGTTGTAATTGCAATTACAACAGAATTTTATGTTAGTATCAGTAGACACAGTTTCATGACTATAATTATATCCACTCCTTTTTAGCAAATTGCCCATAATAGGGAATAAGCTGTTACCGTAGTACTCATAAAATGGTAAGACCTGGACCCGGGACCAATTAAATTTTTCGTTTTGAGGTCCCTAGAGGCCAAAAACACCATCCGTTCAAAATTCATATATATGTGTGCGTGTGTCCGTTAGCACGATAACTCGAACAAAAATGATCCGATTTTGATGAAATTTGGTATAAACGTGTAAACTACATTTATTAGAACGAGTTCACGAACCAGCCTGATCGGACTATGGGAACGGGGGTTTATGGGGTATAAATAGGGTTTTTTTCCATTTTGACCCTAAAAAAAAACACCAAATTTCACAATTTATTTTCATACCATTTTGTAGAGCTTAAAAAAAAACAAATAACTTAGTATATGGAAGCGTATTTATGCGCCTAATAGTTAAGGAGAAAATTCCAAAAAAATTAAAATTCCCATGTTATTTTTATGGAGAATAAATCAACTGTTGTAGTTTGCTTGTTTATGAACATATTTTGATCACTGACAGTTATTGGTCAGACAGTTAAGTACGTTAAACTAATGCTATTTAAATAGGGAATGAATGTTATATTTTTAAGGAGACGTTTTAGTGTAAATCCAATCAGGCAAATGGAAATTCGGCAAATCGCTAAGTCTGCAGGTTTGCTGGGGCAGGGGTATTTTAAATATAGGTAGGCCTACCTTCATGTTATTTTGTGTTGACGGTTACCATTATTGGTACCTAGTCGTAAAGCTATGATAACACTTGGGTGATAATATTCAATCAGACGTATAAAGTAGAATATTTTATTACATACAAATGGCACATATTATCTCAAACATTTCAAGTTTAGAGTAACAAATCTTGTAATTGGGTAATGGGCTTGAACTAGACTACGTAGGCCAAAGCCAAATGGCACACCAGACATTATAGAACCAGATGAATTCCTCTTAGTTTTCAGTGAATCTAACTCACATGTTGTTACCATATCTATTTTATTGAGTAAGAAGATACATTTTACCTTCTATATGAAAAAATAAGGATATTTACAACAATTTAAGTCAATATACTTAGCTACATAAGTGTTATCGAAAAAATTCAGATTTTTCTTACATATTAAGATATGTCTACCTAGATATGGTCCGCCTAAAATAATTATCTTTGGTGCGATTCTATAACAGTGTCCATGGCTGTTTACATAACGATAACTAAATTTTACAACAATTATACATTTCATTCCATTTATAACCATAACATAGATTTACATGATTGAAAAATATATACTATAGTATGATGAATTTTTGAAATTATAGTTAATAAATGATAACTGGGTACTTATGAAAGAAAGTATCTATCCTAAAATTAATAGGTAACATATAACAAGTCAAGCAGGGTCTGGGACCAGATTGTAATGTGATTATTGTAAAGCTGTAAGTTGACAACAAACTAAAACTAATCAAATCTATAATAAGACAAACATTTTCCTTTTATTACTTCCCTCAACCACACTACATAATCAAGTGTTATTTATAAGAAAATGAAGGTAGTTGGCCTACTCTGTATTTGGAACTCCCACTGTCTAGCCAGCAGAGTTGTGATGTCACTGTTCCTGTGTTTACAGTTTACATAAGTAGTGCAAAGGGCAAATAAATTATGAGAGGTTTTGCAATTTCTTTCCATTTGACACATTGGTGTCTACATTAACACCACAGTGAAATGCAGCCTGTGTTTATTTTGGAAATCAAGCACTATATGCCGTAGTGCTCTAGAAAAATGTCTCCTCATTTACCACTATGTAAATACAATAAAATTGTGCCAAAGTATCAAGCTAGCTCTTCAACCTCATCAAACAATTGCTTCCTATAAACATTTATCAACTAAATTATAACTTTTGGAAACAATACATGTAATTATGCACATATGACAACTAATGCATTATTTTGTCGGAAACTTAAACATTGTTATGTAGAATGGTACCGTATAAAAAAATAGTTTTGCAATTGGTTTTAAGAGTCAACTGCTTGGCAAAATAATTTATATTCTTGTTGTATTGTTTCATTTTTCACCATTAAACCTACTTTTGAGATAGAACATTTGAAATAAGATAGCTAGTCAAAGTATTAGTGAGTCTGTTTGTTGTATCAAACAGTTTTATTGGACCAATTAAAGTTTATTGCTGTTTTTTAAACATAGAAAAAAGTATACTCTTACAAGTTTGTAGGAAATTTTATAACTTAAGTTAATTGGACAAAAAAGTTAATTGAAAAACAATTTTAAATACAGTTCAGTAGTAAAATTAAAATGTTTTCAACAATACTAATACCAATAACCAATATCAATCAAAACCACAAAGCAATATCTCTCAATTTTAACAGTGTTATATTTGTTTAAGTGTAAATATTTATTGTTTGCAACTAACTATTCTACCTACAGACATACAAAAAAATGGGATAGATACTATGATTTATATTTGGACACATTATAATTGATTGTAATATTCTCATAATCTAGGCTTCTACTGTTTTCCCAAAACTTGGAACAACTTGGTTCATTAGGCAGGGTTAGGTTTCCCTAATTGTGCTATTCAAGTCAGTATAAAAAGATTTAGCACCAGTATAAAGTTTGTGCTAAAATTTAGTCATATTTTTCTAATTTTTAAAATGTAGTGTAATAGTAGTTTGTGTAAAGATAGTGTTAACTACACGAGTAGAAAATTTAAGGTAGGCTACAAGGCTTGGAGAGTGCCTTCAAAACCTTTACGAGTGTCGTTAAGACTATTTACTGTACGCGAGTTGCATATACTATGCATATACTTTGCCTACGACAGTTTTTCATTACTATAACAATCACTACTCGTGACTTCTAAGAGAGGTTATGTTTTCGTTTATAACCTCGCATTGCCACTGACAGTGATGCAACGAATTATTGTACCGCACCACTCAACAACAATAAAAATTGGTCTAAACAGCTGATTAGTTGACGTTCTAAGCATTACAATATTTACTTCTTCTCTCCCAATCTTTGACCCTCATTGGTCCATTATCCGTGTTGTTAAATAAAACAACAATGCTGCGAAGTAAGTAAACAATGCTGTTGTGTGAATCTTTTCAATTCTATGAACTGATCTGAAACGGCTGCTTTAAATAAAAATAAAAATAAAATTAAAACTGTCGTAGGTAAAATGCATTTCATAATTCATTAATTTATTTAACTAAATATTATTTTTCTCTTAAATATCACATTTTGGTTGTGTTTAGTGAATGTAATTTTAGAAGTGCATTTTTGTTAATTTTACATTTTATAGACAATTTAATGGAAAGAGAAAATTAAATTTGTTAAAGAATATTTATAGATTTGGAATACCTACTGATGGAACATACTCTAGAAACAGATGTTTAATGTAAATTTAATTTTCTGCCAAATATTTTTATCTAAACTTCAATCTTTTTCCTTGAGCCAAATGTTTGTTTATGCTTTCCCATAAAGATTCTTTACCTGGCATACATACGTGTATGTACACAATAAAAAAGAACCTTTTGACTTCTAGGCACCATGGGCATTGTTAGATGTCGACTAGCTACACAGATTCAGGGGTATACACTGTTAAACATATTCCATTGACTGCATGTATACATAGGTAGCCAAATGTTGATACCAAGTTTCTGTGTTGTGTTTTAGTGCAGACTTTAATTTTAACATTTTTTACCTCTCGTATAGTGTTTTACACCACCCTGTGCCTATTATTTACTAGAAATATTTCCACCCCTGCTTATTATAAATGCAGTGAACAGTAAGCAATTTTACCTTGTACAATTCTAAGTTTTCCATATGACGTGGTTTTGAAAAAACACATATTTTTTCATCAACTAAACTTTACCAAAAATGATTAACCACTTTTTTGTGCAAACCAAAATATAAACAAAACATAAAGATAACAATAATAATAACACCCATGTTGAAATAAAGATCTGAAAGGTAAATCAGCTTTCGGCTTCCAACTATTAATAAACAAACAACAGACACAGCTAACTGACAGTTCAGTCTGAAACACGGCACAACCTGCAATATTGCTATACTAACATATCTTTGGAATATTAACTAAAATATATAAAATACTGTACACAGAGAGTGTCTTACTGTTTGGCTCGCTGATGCTGGACTCTGCGACGCACCAGGAACCCCCGCACTCCCGCTTGTATCTTGGTCGCCGCTTGTTCTGTCTGAGGATCGGCGTCGTGGGACGGTGACGTCTCACCTTCACTCTCCACCTTCCTCTTCATCTCCTTGCGCACCTTGTATCCACGGAACCCCGCCTGTATCTTAGCCGCGGCTCTGTCAACGTCCTTCATCTCTTGTCGCGTCTTGAACCCCCGGAACGTTGCTTGTATCTTTGTCGCCGCCGCCGCTGCTTCGTCCGACGCACGTCTCTTGACCATGGTATCCGCCGCCGCCGGTTGGTCGGCCGCTACTGGCTCCTCCCCGCTCCCCGACCCCGACACTCCCTCCCATAGACAAGAATAACATCACACACACACACAGCTTCCCTCCACTGATCAGTCTGCCGTAGCGAGAGAAAGGTGGAAACGAATCTTCACGTCCTCAAACACTCAACTTTATTTCACACTCAAACCACTTCAGAATGTTTAGGTCCAACATCAGGTGTCATCTCCGTGTGTGCTGTACCTGAAACGGACAGAAATGTCGATTATATTAAATGCCGAAGGAAAACAGAAAATATTACCTTGAATTAATTGTAATCATTTGAGAGATAAAAACTGACTGGCTTGATATAACTTGATTAATACAGTACAATAAATTGTTATAGATTGTCTATAAAAAAAATGATTTAACTTTTGCATTAAAGACTATCTATATTCACTATTCAGTAATCTATCTTTCAATACAAAGGAACCTTGAACCTTTGAGTACTCATACACTCATATGAATAGTATACACATTCGACTTGACGAACACGTTGCATACAATTATTTACTTTTTCACAAGTTGCCCTTTAAGGTGGCAATCCTTTCCTAAAGGGAACTTCCATTTATCTAATGTTAAAAATAAATCTGCTGTTTGTTATTCTTGCAAGGCATTTGGTTTGCAACAGAACTGTTTAGACGTTTCTCGTTCACGAACATCATCTGTATAATGGCTTCATCTGAATATCTAATTTATTGAAAATTGCAATCTCAATATGGAAACAAATTGCTGTTCTGAATCAAATCGGGTTATGATTTAATAGACAGTAAATTTGGTCTATATTTTACGAATGAGATAGCATAAACATACAAAACCTTACATTAATGTAAGCAACCTTAAAATGTATAACAAAGTATAATAAGTAACCGAGAAGAGGCACTCTACTTGTATTTAAAGTTTTGGTAAGTCGTACAATCGTATACACCACAACAAAAGCAATTTTTAGTAATATATCTGCGCAGCTATGAAAATCAAAATACTAACCACGCAACTCTTTAGCGCGCATTTTAGCAGTATCCGCAGAAAATATAATACGATATGCGCTATGTCATGACCATGTCGTAACGTCTCAACTGATCCAATATACATGATCGAGAGATGAGTGGACGCGGTTAAATGTATGGGCAATAAATCAATCATCGCCGCCAGAACATTCCATAGTAAACAAACATGCATGTGTGTATTGGCGAGTGTGAAACGGAATTAACACATTTGACGCATCAATGCATACGTAGAGAAAGATCTGACCTAATGGCGTGATCACTTAACTAAATACATTAAAACTATTAGGCCCTATTCCAAACCTAATGTTTATTTACATATCCGTTCGTGAACGAAGCTTATTTTCTTACTAGATCTTTAAAAATAAAAGTCATGAACTGTGTTATCTTGAATAGGTCTTATAGACTTAGGCTGTAAGAATTTGAAGCCAATACACCAGAAGTTCAGTACGATCGCACCAGAGGGTACTAGTGTTTTTGCCCTAGAACGCTAGCTAGGCACAAGCCCGGGATTGCACATTACTTCATTTGCGACATTATCACTTAGATAAAATCCATTGATGATTTGGCGAGGTTTGAACCCGGGACCTCTTGGACCGAAGTCCCGCGCTCCAACCACTAGACCAGCTCGCTCCCCGGAGGGTACTAGTGTATTGGGTTAAATAGTTCATTCTATAATTATATTAATTGACAAGCATGTTCTTTAAAACCTTTTTTTCTCAGTTCGTGTGCATCGAAGGGAAAATCTACGTATACTGTTAGAAAGATATTTTCCTATAGATGTGCAGAACCCCTTTATAAATTAAAATAGGCCTTAGGCTCAAAATTAAACACGAAAAATGAAATTGAAATGTCAAAAAATCAGGGTCGCCTTCCTTGTGACGAAATAACAACGAAATGTGAACAGAATTTAAAACAAATGGGAGAAATTCTAATTACATGTTTTATTTTCAGCGTGGGGGGGAAATAGGCATATTACATATTTTTGGTCGAGTTTTCGACCACTGGACGAACTGTAGTATTAATTAAAAGCAATGCAGTATAATAATGGCAAACAGCTGATTGATTTATCACCTGACGCAGAATATTGTCATTAGTTGGTAGACCATCTCAACAAATTGCTCCACGTTTTTTACCCTTCAAATCAAATTTTTACATTGCATAGGAAGTCTATAAATATAGGGTCTGTTGATTGACTATATAGTGTAATGATTTCAAATTTAATAACACATGATTTGGAGCACCCGCCGTGTTCCGACCCAAACCTAATCAGTAGAAGCACCAAGCACTTCAGATGGATGTGTTTGTTAACGGATTAAGATTAAAGATAAATTTGTCGTTATTAATTAGCTAAGAGGAGTCTTAACCCTAATCGATTATTACAACATTGGTGGGCTACTATGGCCCAATTGTAGCAGTTTAGTCCACAAAGTAAGCTACAGCAGCTATCCGCCGTTTTATCGTCATGTATTATAAAATATTTACTGTACAGGTACAAACCAACGCTAAAACCATCAAATATAGCGTATAACCTATTGTAGTTATTGTAAAGAATATGAGTAACCCACGTGAGTTACTTGTGTGAAGTACTAAAAAAAATATTGATTCCTGTCGACTTCTTTGTAGACTAAAGAAAACTCATCGAGCAATAAAATCGATGCCAAAAACTTTAAAATTAATTCTAATCCTAAATGTTTTATTCAACATTACATAATGTTTTTCATTATTTTAGCCAGAAAAATAACAAGCATATAAAATACACCTTCATGGTACATTTGTACATTTAATGAAATGCATCCCCTTCATGAGTCCGCCTATCGTAATAATTATTGTTGAGAGAAGACCTAGGACTGGGCCTGACACAGCTTTCATTTAACAGCCAATTCTCTGAAAATGTCGGAAGGCAAAACCAAATTCAATCCAATTTTTCAAAACAAAATTCATTGTCTGTCAGTCCTGCAGAAAAAAAACTGCTAAGTAACATTTCAACCAGAGTGGTAGGGCCTATCTGTGTCAGATGTAGGTCATGATAGGAATTGTCTTCATCAAGCGTGGCGTGGGGTGTGGGTCTTAACTGGTGGTCAGTGGTTAGTTCTAGTTGGTCATCATTACACCATTAACAGCCTACGTGATTAGTGATGGTGGGTTTAATTTACTCTACATCAACAAATATCATTCGACTCACACACCCATCATTGTTGACAATTACTCTAAAACATCGTTGTTATATCCCATATTATATTCTGCCGATTTATGGTCGTTTAATTATGCCTTGTGAACATTTATAGTAGCAATCATTCAGATTGACGCCGTTACTGCTACAACCACATCTCGTGTTGCAGAAAATACTAAGACTAGTAGAACAAAATATTACGGTACTCTAAATGAAAATTGTCTGAACGTTACTTTGATTACATTGTCTCGTTGTGTTTATGTTTGGTCATTGCCATAGCCTCCTATGTTATTACATTTCAGAGATTTACCATTTTTCAAATCGTCCCACTTTCAGATTTAGGCCTAAAGATGTTGCTGTTCATTTGTTATCATTGCAGGTTACATTGTATGTTTCGTCCAATAAGTTCAAGATACTTTTGGTTTTTTCTGTTTAATGTCTGCTGCTGCTGGTGGAAGGGCCGAGAGCCACGGTCGAGGACACAGCTACAGTGTCATCCATCATTTTGATTCTATTTCCGCACTCTGCACTTCCTTTGTGACGATGCCGCGGTTGAAAATGGACACATTTAGAATACTCACCGTAAACTCGAGATCTACAAACTAACTTATTTTCAATAAAAGAAACATCAACATTTTGTTTACTCGTTGTTTACTATTTTAGATAAACACAATTATAATGGCAATACTAAACAATTAGGTTTATTTCATAAAATGTGTTAGATAGGCAAACGCCAAAATTAAGTGGAAAATACAGTCGAACTGTTCTAGAACTCGGGATCAATTATTAAATACTAGATGAATGGGAGCTGATCAATTGATCTCAGCCTTGATCGTTTGTTTACGAAAGCGTTGGTAGCGACCAGCGACGAAACAATAGCGCACTGTAAGTTACTGATGTATGATCACAACTACTACCTGTCCCTTGTCCACTGGCCAACTATATCACTACCTACTTCTTACAACCACCTTTCTACCACTATCGCCCATCGATAGCATCCAACTTTTACAAGATGGTTGTTATTGCCATCCTACTACCTTTTACTATTTCTATATCCAATAGTCAATTACAGTACTACCTTCTTGTCGTATAACACTGGACTACTAATACGCATTTAAGATGACCAAATTAAATTTTGATTTTTACAAATGGATCTTACATCATCAGCTTGATCTCTTGTTTTATTACACATATTCCCTGCTTACAAATGTTTACCTTTATTTAAATTTCCATCTCTGCGGCCCACTCTTCCAATTTATGTTTTAGTTTTGCCTACACGGACATGGTTGAATTATATTTGTAACTTGGAAAGCAATATTAAATATTTAGCTGCTTTGTCATATTGGAAAATTCCATTTGGCAAAAGTATATTTGAAAAATACACGTCATTAACATTTTGAAAACTTGTAACCTATTTTATTGGTGGCATGGAGAGAGAGAGTAGAGGGAGATTGGCTCGAGACGCGCTCACAGCTTATCACGATCTTCAGAAATAACGCGGCGAGTGGCTGAGGCCAGCACCTGTGTGACTGCATCACTGCACACTGAGAATAATATTGGTTTACGTTCAATATAAACACGTACGCGCGCGAAGAAAGCGCATTATTTATATTTGCCACGAGAGAGGAGGTATGTGGTGTACAAACAAACACAGACGGACGAGAGAGTGACCGCTATAGGCATCTAAACATCTAAACAATTGAGGCAAGGTCCAGCGATGAAAATGTAAAATAATAATGTTGGGGTAGTTTATCTAGCTCTCTAAATAACCTCTAACCAATATGAAACAGAATTTTTCAACAACCAGATTCTTAACTATAAAAGTCTACGTAACTGAAAGTTGACTTCTCGTTTTTGCTCTATAGGTAGCTAAAGCATGTGAGCTATTAACATGTGTCAGGCTCCGCACTACTGGAAGACTTTAATGTAATCATCGTGTGAGCACTAAACATATACATGACATAAAAATTTATATGATTACTCTTAAACTAAAACAATAATTTATAAAATATAATAATGTGGAATCTTAGTTTTTCAATAAAGGAATGATCTTGTTAGTTGTACGCTGTTTAATATCTATACCAACAGTTGTTTGAACTGTGGATTTACTAATGTTGCCCATATACTACATACATCACATAACGTTTTAAAATAAGGAATATTAAATGGAACGGTTTTTAGCGAATTCCCCATATATGGAATAAGCTATTTATTACGTTTTCCTCATATCTAGGGACCGTTATTTCGGAATTTAGAGGAAATCTTGATACTAGGACACCATGGCTGGCACTATCAACTCTTTAGATTTGTTATACTTTGTAAATACTGTAAACCTTGTACAATGTCTTGATTTTTTAAATTGTTTCATCAAAATAATGATCTTTATCGACGAAAGTTTTCTCATGGTTCGTGTCAATTTTGTATTGGTCTCAAAGCTAAATTGATTTAAAATCCGATGGATTGTATTGTACAGTTCGATTAAGTGGTTGTCTGTGAATCAGTCCAATCATAGGACGTTGACCGACATAATTCCCCAATCTCGATTATATCAACTCATTTAACTACCGCATGTTCTAATAGCGTCAACATGTGAAATCCTATACAGAGTGGCTGAAAAGTAACTTGCACCCCCCCCCCTTAACTTTTCAAACATTTGATATATATGAAATCGGTTTGCGGCAACCTTCTTAGATATGAGGGGCTACAATAATTATGGTCAATTTTGAAAATTTTGCTTTTAGGGGTAGTGGGGGTAGGGGGTAGCTCAAAATGTTCAAATGGCAAGTATAGTTGAGTTTGGTATCATTTTGTAGGTCTTGACGAAACGTAAAC